CCCCCCGCGCTTGCCGCTCGGCGGCTGCTGCCGGTCCGGCTCCTCCTCGCTGTTGCTCAGGCTGTCGTCGGCCGGCGAGACTGGCGAGCTGGACACGTCCTGCATCATCTCTCGGGCGGCAACGCGCGGCCTCGCGGGCCCGGGGCAGAGGGGCGGCCCGGGGAAGAGGAGGAGAGCGGGGCGCCTCAGCCCGCCAGCTTCCCCCGCGCGCGGCGCCGGCCCGGGCGGTGCGGCCCGCCGAGGAGGGAGCGGGAGGAGGGACCGGGAGGATCTCCGCGGGGAGGGCGCGCGGGGGAGGCGGGGAGGGAGGCGGGAGGGGGAGGGGACGGTGTGGATGGCCCCGAGGTCCAAAAAGAAGGCGCCCAACGGCCGCACGCACACCCCGCTTGGCCTCCTGGAAACGATGCCTGTGCCGGCGAGCCCGCGAGGTGTCTGGGAGTTGGGCGAAAGCTGCAGACTTGGAGGCTCTTATACCTCCGAGCAGGCGTAAAGTTTGGGGGCAGCAGTGTCATTGGCCTGACGTGGGGAGGAGGGACTTTTCGGAGTTTTATAGGAAAGTTTCCGCTTTCCAGCCCCCCATCCCCGTCCCCACCCCCCTTCCTCGGGGTCTAACAATTCGTCCTCCCAAACCATTCAAAAACGACCTGGCCCAGGCGGCCGGCCCCTCTGCCCGCCTCCTTGCTGCCCTCCCCCTTCCCTCCCGCCTCCCTCCGCCAGCGGGCGCGGGGCAATTTCCTTCCGCGCCGGAGCGCGCGGGCCGCGCCCCCGCACCCGAGCGCAGCCCGGGGAAGCGGCCGGAGAGAACAGTCCCGGCCGCGGTGTCGCTCCCTCCCAGAGTGGCTGTGACAGCAGCGGCGGCAACAGCTTCTACGCAGTGGGTGATGTCTTATCTCGCCCCAGTATCCGCTAGGTCCGTAGGCTAGTTTGGGATTGCTGGGGCGGGGGAATGGCAAGAAAAATGGGAACCGCGAAGCCCACCCAATGGTCAGGTAGAAGGGCCTCTGGAGTCCCAAGGGCCAAACCACCGCGGCTGGCCTTGAGGTCTTGGGCGTTTCTGAAGACGTGGCCGTGCCGCGAGGACTACGGATCTGCGTCCCGGCCTGCTCTCTCACTCCTCTCTGAAAAGCATCTGGGTCTTTCTTTTCCCTCCACAGCGACCCATCGAACGCTTGCCAACGCCCAAAGGACTACCCCTCCTAAGGTGCTAGAAAGAGGCAGAAGTTCATTCTGCGGAAGGCAGTCCTGTCCTTGGAGAAGGCAGCAGGGCCGGAGTGGGGCAGCGCAGCGTCTTCGCCGCGGCCCTGATCGCCTGAGCTGCAGCCCAAGGTGGAGGACCCTGGGGCCATTTCATCCCAACCCCACTCCCCAAAAAGGCCCTGCATTGTGACCTTTAAAGGGCAGATCGTAAGAGAGTGAGATAGGGGTTCAACATTGCCTGGACACACGGGGCTGCCAGCTGTGAGAACCCCCTTCCCCACCCCTCATTCCTAGGAGGTCGAGTGGGCAATTACGCTCCGTGCGCCCCAAACGCATTCCAATTACTTGGACACTTTTACATTTTAAGCATTTCTATCTAATAAGTTAACAACAAAGAGCCCTAAAGAGGGTGTTAACGCCGATTCTAGCAAATTGGAAGCAACAAAAGTTGGTGAGCTGGTGAAGAGAAGAGGAGCCGCAGTGGAAAAGAAGCCCATTTTTGTAATGCTAGGTTTTTTTTTTTTTCCTTTTTCGGAACGAGTTGGGGTAGAATAACCGTTTCACGTTCATTCTTTACGTTGCAGAGCCAACCAGAGGTCAAAAGCAGTAGTCTGTTTTCGGGGGCAGATTTGGGGGGTGCCGAAGTGCTGCTTGGGTGACCTGCGCAGGCCGAGGTCAGCTCTCGCTCTCTCCCAGTCTGGACTCGCAAGCGAGAATTAACTCAGCGAAGCGCCCCTGTCTGGGCTGGATCGAGGGTCGCAGCCGTGTCTGGGGAAGGAGACAGGAACCCAGGCGACGCGCGCGGGTAGGCCACGTGGCTGCGCCCCGCTGAGGCTCGCAGCTTCGGTCCCGGAAACCCCGGGGTCTGGAGCGCCTGTGGTCGGCTGAAGGGCTCAGCCTTCTGGGGGAAGTGAGGGCAAGAGGCATCCCTCCCGCAGCGGGCTAACAAGGCTGTGCTTTCCATGAGAGGGGCGACTTGCAGGGTTTGTCTATCACCATTTTTACAAATATTCAGAAACAATGACCACAGCATGCCAACTGGCCTGCTTCGCAAGTCACTGCCATATTTTAAGATGAAAGCCTGTCTGAAAATCAGATCCTACTTGACATCCACTTAATAGCAGGCAGGCAGGTTAAAGCGCACTAAGTCACCCTTGTGTTTGCATCTTATGCCTATGGGATTTTATCTCTTGGAAGCAGTGAGAGAATAAGGCAGAAATTCTGCCCCATTCTCTGCAGTGTGTTCTCTTTTGTAAATCTGAGTTGCAGAGTATTCCGCAATTCTTATTTGAACCTTGCTGCAGAAATCTCGAAAATTTTCCACCTTTACATATCGGTTTTTTTTTTTTTAAGATCAACCTCAAATCTTAATTTTGTTTGGTTTTGTTTTTCTCCGTTAGCTGAATTCTCAAAAATAAAGAGATCCAATAATTGGACTCTTTCTTTTGTGGCTATGGGTAAGCAAGACAGGAAAGTGCGGGCAGAGTGTAAAGGAAACCCTACCTGACCAAGGGGAATTGGGGTTGGGGTGGATGGAAAGAGGGACAGACAAGCTGCAGGAGAAAGCTAGTCCACAACAGCGCTGCAGCCAGGGATCATTAGCCAGTCCCAACTTGCAGTCATCAATCTCCAAGACTAGTTCTTAAACAAGTGAGCCCAGCCCTTCTCCAGGCACTAGACTTCTAAAGGGTGAAGAGCTTCTGGCCATTGGGTATAGGGATGCCTAGGGCTGGGGTGATGCTCTGGATGCCAGAATACTTAGAAGAGGGTTTAAAATGAATGACCTAACCAGAAGAATCCAGGCATAGAATCTTCCCGATGGAGTCACAATAAATGACTTTGGTTCTGAGAAGAAATTTCTCTTGAACTCTTTGAAGGAGTGGAGGATGAGGATGAGGATGAGATGGGTTTTTGAGTGCTCAAATGTTACTTTTTGAGCAGAATGTTGTAGCTTGGCAAATGAATTACCTCTCCAAACGTCTGGGGCTTGATACTCCCTACTTTGCAAACTGCATCATTTCATGGCCAATTGTCCCACTCTGCTCATCTATAGCTATATCCTACCTAACATTTAATCTAAAAATTTCTTTATCCATACTTGCTGGGGCAAGAATAAAGGCAGGCTCCCTTTCTGTGTGCTGACGAGCCAACTATAATTCTGTTATCTTGTATGTGCAACAATAATGATAACTTCCACCATATTCAGTTTAACATAAGAAAGCTTAATTAGGTCTAAAATCCAAATTTTAGGCTCTTAAAAAGCAGTCTTATAAATTTCCTTTTGGGGCTGAACTCAGCCTGACTTGAAGGATGTCAGTGGAGTACCACCTTCTTTGGGAATACTGAATCAACTGGAATTGAATCATTTTGTCTACTTCTAAATAAATTCTCTGAAAAAAAATTTAACTGAAAACAAAAAAGTTTTCCTTTTGTACTCGGATAATTAAAAATGAGCTTTGTTTTCAAACTGCAAACTTGGCATGTTCACAGTCCTTCCTGAGGAATGTGTGCTGTGTTAAAAATTGAAAAAAAATACTGTTAGAACTAACAGAGTTAGGAATCTCATACTGAGTGTATGCAATAAGTATGTATGTATCTGTATCCTTACAGTTTGAATATGCACTGGCATTCTCTTAGCAGCAATCATTTATAAATACTTTTAGAGAAAAGTAATAGAAACACGCATACGCTATAGAATTGTTAGCAAGCTGGTAAATTTTAGGGTTGAGACTTGCAAAAAAGGTGAGTACTTGAATCTGTTCCTATTTTTTCTCCTCATTCTTTGGATGACCTACCACCTGTTTGTTGGCTTCGAGTTCTGTGAAATAATTTCTCTGAATTGCATGAATGAAACGCAGGAGCATTCACACAGAAGGGGGCGCAAATTGGAAAAGGCTGTAGTTGAGTGGATCTCAGATGAGATTGTGCATCTTAGATTTCATCTCGTTTTAAACACTCCACAGGGATTGCCTAGTTTGATATTTCAGTGAGAGAATTTCATCAAAGTGGAATATAAAGTTTTTGTCTGCACAAGTGACTTTGATAACTGTGTAAAAGCAGATTCTTCCTCAGAGACACAAATAGCCTTCATGTTGTTTGAACATGTTGTTTGAACAGTTTGAACAGAATAACAGGTCATTCTCTTTCTCTTTTGATGATAGTTTAATTCGTGGATTTAACTGATCCTACCTTTCTCTTTCTGAATTTCTTTAAGAATAAGGAACTAAAATGATAAAATTTGAAGCTTTCAATCCAGAAATAAAATGAAAAAGAATAAAGCACACGAAATTGAGTTGCCAGGAGCACCTCAAATGAGCAAATCAAATTTTCAAATAAATATTAATGTTTAAACTATCTGACATTCTGCATTCAAAATGAGGATGAGATAAGGAGACATAACATTCCAAACTTGTAGGGAGAGAATAATCAAAGTGTGGAAAAGTATGGAGTCTTGAAGAGCCTTGTTTTTTTTCCATTTATTAGCTTAGTGGGTGTGCAGGGTAGAGAGTTTGTGTCCCGTATTTGCTGCCAATTAACCTCGTTGAAATACATTCTCACTTTACTTATTTCAAAGAATTGCTGAAATAACTGAAGAAATAATATCAGAAATACTTATTTATAGAGGCTTTTCTCATGGCCACAATCTTCCTCCATAGTAAGCATTTTTATCTTTTCTTTTTAATCATCTGATGATCAAGCAATTTAAATATAAATGCAATGATTTACATTCTGTGTTCTTCCAGCTAAAGTTCCCTTTCTGATTACTCACAACTTTCATCTCTCTTCATTTCAAGGAATTTCCTTTTTTCACAAATGGCTTTTCCTAAAGCCTTAAATGCTATTTCCGTTGTTTGGATTGATTCTTCCTGCAGAAAACATGTTGTTTTTGCCGGTGACCACAAGAGGACACAATTTCCTAGAGAAATTTTTTAAAAAGACGATTATAGAAGTCAATGAATGTCTTTTGGGGAATGTCTGATTTATGTCACTTTTATTAATTTTTTAAAACCATGAACATGAGTTGGCTTTAGATTTGGGGG